TGAAGGGGGGCAAAACTGGGAAAGTGTGTGTGGGGGAAGCAGCTGTTACATACCCTCAACGCGCAGGCGAGCAGCCCTGAATGGAGGGGGAACTCCCCCCGGGGCGGATTGGCCCCGCGGTGCTGATCGTCACGGCCGCACCGCCCACGGCGGGAGGGGGGGCGCGGGGAAGCGGGGTGTGAGGGAAAGGCCTCTCGGCGGAGGGCGGGAGGGAGCCGGTTCCCCCGCGGAGGTAGCCAGCGTTCCCCTCCCTTAAACACGAGATGGGGGTGGGGGTTAATGCCTACGATCATCGTGTTTCTCTCCGTTTGGAAAGTTGTGGAGTGTGTTGCTGGGTTCCCCAGACGGAGGCTGGAGGAGCCAGGCCTGGCCGCCTGTTAGTGCTCATCTGGGCATCTAAAGTGTGCTCGGGAAAGGCTGAAATACAAACACACATTCCACACTCCTATTAAAATGTGTATTTCAAGCACCCTCACTCAAACAAGGTCTAAATCTCGTAGTTTTTTTTGTTTCTTTCCAGCTGTTCATCCCGTTCTCAGAGTGGGAGAGCGCTGCAGGAGCAGGCAGTGAGGTGGTGCCGGGACAAGCAGGCACAGCCGAGGAGGGAGCCGGGAGCTGCAGCTCGGTGTAGCCCCTGGAAGGGCTCTCGACAGAGGGGTTTGAGTTTGCACGGGCTGCAGTGCCACTGGAGATCGAGCCTGAGCCTTGGAAACCGGAGGTGAGGAAGCAGAAGGACTGGGAAATGAAGCGCTCTGGAGCTAGGCTCTTTCCAAACTCCCAGGGAGCAAAATTACAAGCACTAAAGTAATCGTCATTAGCGAGGCAGCGTGCATGCAGCCAAGAAAGCCAAATGAGACAGGTGGGCACAGCGATGGCAGCGCCGCTTTACAATTGCTCTGCAATGCCTTTAAATCCCCGTTTCCAAACTCCAGCGGAACTTTGGATTTTGTTCTTGGAATTGCCTGTGCTGTTACTCTTGCCCGTGGTGGCTGATCCCCATCTCTGGGCCATTCCAGGGAAGGGGAGATCCTGCAGGCATCAGGCTGCTTGTACTCAACAGCCCATTTTTCCCACCGCTTTCCAAACAATACAGTTTTTCTTTCCAGTAACTTTTGGCTGGCTGCGTGAAGTGACCATTTCCAGAGAAATCCTTATTTCTGCTGCTGAGGAGGACTTGCTGGCACAGAAGGAATGGATGGAAGAAAAGATTGTGTTGTGCAAGAGGACTGAAAACGCTGGCTTTGAGAAGAAACACAGCCCTGGAAATAGTAAGGGAGAGTGTTTGGGTTGTTTTTCCATGGAAAAGGTTTACAACCTTTTCCTCCGCCTCCAGCACAGATGGGATCTTCATCCCTCCTCAAAGGGTGCAGCATATCTGAGCTGTTCCCATTCAGAGCCAGAGTTGGTGATCTCCATCCCTCTCCTCTGGTTATTCCTACCAGACACCCAGGCCACGAGTCTTGGAGAAGTTTTGGTTCTCTGTGTCCATGCCATGTGGAACTGAGCTAGAAGGCACAACCACCTTTACTGTGTGCACAGAGCGGGCTTGGTTGGGATTTCACAGCCTGTGGGAGAGAGACACGGGCTGGGCACATTTGTGGGGCCACGTGGGACACTTGGCATCACCTGCAGCTTTCGGATCTGGACCCAACACTTTGCCAAAAGCCCCGCTGAGCCACAGAGAGCTGCTGCTGACAGCACAGGATTAACAATAAACTGCAAACACTGCCTTCCTGCACGTGTGTTGAGAAGAAAGCTCAGCTGGGTGAGAAAGTTTGGCAGTGAGGAGGGAGGGCCCCAAGAACCTTTCTTCAGAGGATGAGAGGTCTCTCAGAGGAGCCACTCTGCAATGGGTGCCTGGAGGGAAACTCTGGGGCAGCCTGAGCCAGAGGAACAGATCACACTGCCTGGGCTGATGCTGCTCCAGGAGACAGCTGGGTGGAAAAGGTCCCTGGAAGGATGGGACACCGCAGCTGAAGCAGAACCACTCTGCAAGCAGGAAGCGCACAGCTCCAGGGATGCTCCCAGCACTCACCTCTCATGCACTCCTATGCACTGGGACATGCAGCCCTTCCAGACGGATTCCCTGCTGCCTCTGGTTCTGTTCCAGCCTTCCAGTGCTTGTGTCTGACCTGGGTTTGGCACAGCCAAGCCAGTCCATGCCCAGAGCACAGGGGAAAGCTTCTCCTTGTGCTAGTCCTAGAAAGACACTGGCATCCTTTACTTTTTTTAGGCTCCAGCTGAGCAAACACAGGTGCTGCTCTTCACACCCGCCAGCTGCCCTGCTCTGGGGCACAAGCTCTCACTGGCTCTAGGGCTTCATTTTCACAAGCTGCCTTTTTTCTTCCCTCATCCCTAAGCCTCAGGCTGCGGCTGCTGCTCTGGGACTGGCACCACTTGCACCTGAATGCACTGGGGCTGCCTGACAGCCCAGGAGTTCCCCCTAATTTCTGTGCCCTACATGCCTGCTCAGAGGGGATCCAGAAGCACAGAGGTGATGCCTGCACCCCCAAATCCTGCAGTAAAAGGCAGCAGCAGGCAGATACCATGGCCAGACAGGAGACTGATGTCCTGGGGCTTGTCAAGGCCCCGGGAAAAGAGGCAGGAGCTTGGAGTAGGGTGGCTTGTGTCCCCCCTGGATACACCAGCCCATTGTGCTGCCTTCCCTCCTGACACTACTCTGCCTTCCCAGGAAAGCTTCATGCAGCCTGGTTATCCCTGTCTTAGCCTCACCCAGGCCAGGAGAAGCCCTGAACACAGCCCTGTGCTCCTCAAAGTCCCTGTGTAGCCAGGGATGGGGTCAGCTAGTTTTTAGAGATCACAGCCCGTGCAAAGCCCTGAATTCCCTCCTTCTCTCCTGCCCAATGCCCCCACGACAGCAAAGAGGACTGGTCACTGGTGGTATATTTATATATCAATACAAATAAAAACAAAACAACTCCCAAAAAAGTAACGACAACAAAAAGGTTTCTCTGAGAGCAAAATAGGAACATTTACAAATACTTCTGGCTCTGGCTTGAATCAAGTTAATGTTAAATACAAAAAAATAAACAAACACAAAAAAATACCCAAAAAGAAAACAAAACAAAACCTCCCAAACCCTGTGCCTCCCACCCCCAAGATTATAAAAAAATAAGAATATACACATTCAAAGAGCTTATTACAGTATAAAGCTGGGGAGGCCCAGGCAGTGGTGGGGGCTGGGGCCGGGGCAGAGGCTCGTTGTCTCTCCAGGTTTGGGGTTTATTCTTGCTCAGCGCTTTCCCAGCCTATGACTCAATGCAGGGCTGGGCCTGCGGGTTCCCAGTGGCAGCTTGGGAAAGCCAGACAACCTGGAGAGCCGGTCGGTCCCCATGGCCCCGTCACCTCGTACCTAGTGACTCCCACAGCGGTGCCCAAGGGCCAGGGGATGCCTGCAAGCTCAGCACCCTCCAGACAACCCAATCCTCCAGATCCTCCTAGGAGCACAGCTGCTATCTCTCTCCGTGGGGAAGATGAGACAAAGGAACAGGGGGGACACCATCAAGTATCCTTGTGCTTCCAGCGGGATCAGCACAGGAGTGGGTACCGGGTCCCAACGCTGCCCATGAGGGAAAATAAGGAGAAGGGGGAAGACAAGACAGAGCCAGGACCAAACTCACCGCTCCAGAGATCACAGCAGTGAGGTGGCAGGACAGCGGGAACCCCTGGGAGCTGCTAAAGGGTAAGTTGTATATATGTATCTATATAATAGCCGGGGGTCACAGCGGGGGTATATTATATACACACATACATACAGACACACAGATGGAGCGTCAGGTGAGACCGAAGCAGGTGCCTCTTCCTCAGCTGCACTACTGGGAATACATTTCCTAGGACTTTGCAAAGCCCCTCTCTAGGTACATCTCAGGTGGTCCCAACAACAACAAAAAAACCCCCAAAAACAAACAAAACAAAAAAAAACCAAAAAACAAAAAAACCCCAACAACTTGAAGAGAAGACAAACCACCTCCCCAGCCAACCAAACCCAACCGAAACACGACGGGGAGCAGTGAAAGCCCCTTCCCATGCCAGCCACCGTTTGGGTTGAATAAGGCACAGTTCCATAGCAGTGCTGACAGCTGAGGTGCTCCGGCACCGCCGCCCCCACGGCTCTGCTGAGTCCCGGCGGGCACCGAGGCGGCTCGGGCAGCCCTTGAGGATGGGCAGCAGCGTCTGCAGGGAGGTGGAGGTTCTCAGTACCCTGGCGAGCTCTTCTCCTGGGCGGCCCGGCTGTGGTTGGCGAGCAGCAGGCCCTCGCGCTGGGCGTGCTCGAGGATGGCGGTGTAGCAGAAGTAGTACTGCTCGGGGGTCTGGATGCTGAAGGCGCGCTGGCTCCGCATGCGCAGCACCGTCTGGTAGATGTTCAGAGTGCCCACATCCTGCAGCTGTGACAGGCAGATGTCCAGCGCGCAGAAGGTACCTAGGGATGGCGATGGGGATGGCATCAGACAATATATGGCACCATTGCTGCCGCTTGTGAGAACCGGAGTGGTGGTGCTCACCCCCCACCGATGTCCTATGGGCATTTGGGGACTTCTTCCAGGTCTGATGGTTGTGGGAAGTCCTGAGGACGTGTCTCAGGTCAAGCAGCTTTTAAACACACCGTGGGTCCCCGGGATGGAAATGCCCAAGAGGAGCTGACTTGTCACCCCACCATCCCCAACACCCATTACCTGTCCTGCCAATGCCAGCGCTGCAGTGCACCACGACCGGGGGTCCTCCGGGGTGACCCTTGAAGCGAGGTCCCAGGGCACTGACAGCCACTCTCTGCTGCTGCTTCACGGCCCCCAGAAAGTCAATCAGAGTGGCAGCAGAAGAGGGGACTCCATAATCTGGCCAGCTCAGGTACTGGAAGTGGGACACCAGCCGCCGCTCCCTGGTCTGGGGGAAGCAGGGGGTTTAGACCCTCTTTCCTCCTCGAACCCCTGGTGCCCCCAAGCCATTCCCCCAGCAGGCAGCTGTGGCCACACACCTCTGAGCTGTGGATCTCCAGGATGGTTTTCTTGTAATGGTTGAGGTTCTCTACACCCAGGTTGGTGATAGTCAGGGCCCCAAAGCACACCTGAAAATCCTTTTCCAGGGGCCAGTACTGGCCACACTTCCTCCTGCCTCCTTCCTCCAGCCTGGAAGCAGGACAATGACAAGATGGCAATCTCATCCTTGCCCTGTCTGAGACATCACCCATGCCATGCAGCCTTGGTCTTTTGGGGATCCCACAGGGACCAAACAGTCTGTCCTTGACCCAATGTCCCCCATCTATGGGGCTCTGGCTGGCACCACTGCTACAGAATCACGGCACTGAGCCCAGCACATCCCACACCAAAAATGCTCATTTTGCACAGAAAAAGAGGGCTATGTCCCTCCCTGAGCGCTCACCGGGTTGTCATCACGATCACCAGGACGTTCTGCTCCCACACCATGCGCCAGAAGTCACCGTAGGTGTTTTCCAGAGGCCCTGCAGGGACAATCCACACATCAGCCCAAAACCTCATGGTTTTGGGCAACCCCTCGTCCAGCTGCATCTACCAGCACCCCATCACCCCCACAGGGAACCACAGCTCCTTCCTGTCAGGGCTGCCCCAGGTGTGGATCCACGAACACAGCCTGGAGCTGTCACTGACTGCCACCCCCAGCTCCGAGTCCCTGTGGCTCAGCGCTGATCCCACCTCTCTGCTCATCCTCGGGCAGATGGGGCAAATCCAGAGCTGGGATAGGGGCAGGGAGAGGGAGAGGGAGAGGGCTGCTATCATGGATGAAGATGGATCCCCTTGTTCTCTCCCAGGAAGAACTTCAGTCCACTGAAGTTCTCAACTTCTCAGCTGGAAACTGAGATGGGAATAAATACACCCAGGGAGGAGTAAATACACCCTGAGAGAAGAGCAGGGGGACCCGCTCCTGGGATGTCCCTCATGGCCAGTGGCTGACAGAGGGCAGAGAGGTGGAACCCACGGGTGCATCAGGAGCAAGACAATCCCTTGTTGGCTCAGCCATACCCTGAGTGCCAATGTAAGCATTCCTCTGCTTGTAGCCATCCATGAAGCTCGCATTGATGTAGTCAGTCAGCTGCAGGGAGAAAAGCATGGATGAGATAAAGCCTCCAGAATCCTAAAACAGCTGTGCCAGCTTCCCACAGGACTGTGAGTTTACCCCCTGGGCCAGCTCACCTCCGGGCGGCTGTAAGGCTTTGCCAGCTTGACCCGGGTTTGGTCCAGACAGGGCACGTCCCCGTACCGGTTCTTGTCCTGGTTGTAGGGTGCCCTGGAAGGCGGAGGAGAGGGAAGCAAGGATGTATTCCAGGCAAGGCAAAGACAGCATCCCTCCCCCTCTGTGCAAGCCTCTGGGGCCTGTAGCCTGGGCTCTGCTGCCATCACCTGGCCAAAGCCTCGGGAAGCAGAGTCCCAGCCAGGTCCTGGTCCCTGCTGTCCTCTGCGGCTCCCCGCTATTCCCAGAGGCTGCAGGACCCACAAAGGGGGCTCACACCATCCCTGGGCCGGGGTTCTCTGTTGCTAACCCAAAGCACCACACCATAAAGAGGCAGATGGACACCCATCCAGCAGCAGAAGCGTGGGGTGGGGGGATACCCAGCTTTTTGGGGTGAGAGGGGCAGCTGGCTCCCTCGTACGGACTCACAAAGAGCAGACGAAGGTGCCGGCCGGGCTCCTGCGCCGAATGTCTTCGTACTCCTCGTAGATGCCGCGTTTCTGCTTGTGGCTAACATGATCCAGCAGCTCTTGAAGGGTGATGGACTTGGGCCCGGGGACATGGACAGAGCCATTATCTTTGGGGGCTGCCAGCGGCACCAGGATGAGCTCATCCAGGGGATCAGGGTGCCCGTTCTGCTGGGGCAGGAACCGGCAATTCCAGCTCAGAGGGTCCAGCTTGAGGGACCCTCCGAGGTACTCAGGGAGGCATTCCCGGGGCAGGTGTTCTTTCAGCTCTGACATCTTCACCATCTGCACCTGTGAGAGGAAGAGGAAAGGCAGACGTGACTCCAAGAAGGTTGGAGAAGATTCACTGGGGATAGCGACAGGGATGCCAAAGGTCTGGGGCTCAGCAGCTTCCAGCAGATGGGACTGAATGGCACAAGCTGCTTCCACCAGCCTGTCACAAAGGGAAAGCAGCCACAGCCCTGCCCACTGAGGGTCCTGTGCCAGGAAAGTCCCGTGCCAGGAGGGTCCCCACTCACCCGCTCCCGCAGCTTCTCCTTCAGCAGCAGGCTGATGATGGAGTAGGGCACGCGGAACCACATGGGTGCTCCCACGATGAAAACCTTCTTGAGCCGAGCTGGGAAGGCACCCTGTGGGTGTGAGATGGGGGTTAGATCCACTCTGCTGTGGCAGGGGACATACCCCAGCAGAGGTGACAACCAGCAAAGGGACCATATAATGGCAGTTCCACATCTGAAGTGTGCCTCACACACTCAGAGCCATGCTTGTTTTTATGAGTCGATAAGGAAACAAATTACCTCCTATGGAATTGGGTAGGCAGAAGGTTTGGCTCGGCGGGGGAGAGGTGAAGTCTGGGAAGCGGGATTATGCAAAGAATACACCCCGGCCAGTATTTACTCTTATTGCTTTTTTTTCCGGAGAAGGGAGGAGGCACCAAATGCCAGCACGATTAAAAAGTAATTTGCATCTGTTTTCCCAAAAGTGCTGCCAGCAGCTGTGAGAGGAATCCAGCCCAGGGACAGCTGATCCCTCCCACCCACATGACACCGCAGCCACAGCCGGGTCCAGCCTGGCAACCTCCCAGTGCCTTCTCGAGGTCCTGCAGGGCTGGAGCCCGTGCTCCTCGGCTGAGACGTGCTTAGCGTGGCCTGGGGTGCAAACTGATGCCAAAACCAAGGGACTTGGGGCTCTTGGTGAGCGAGTGGCCCATGCAATGTCCCCAAACACCAGTTAACCCCCAGGCACCACCTTGAGGAGATTGAGGATCTTCTTGCTGAGGTCCAGCTCGAAGTTGGTGTACTGTGACCCTGCCATGTCGTAGATGAACACCAGCCCGTTCCTTTGTGTCTCAAAGCTGAGAGGGGGGAAATGAACAATGTCAACCTGACATCATTCAACCACCTGGCTCCTGCATCACCAGCTCTGCCCCACACTGACACACAAAAATCCCTTCCCATGCTTCCAGGACTCACCAACCCAAACCTTGCTTCTGCACTTCCCAGCTTCTCCACCACCTCTTCCTACAGCCCTGATTTAAGCCAGTGCCTTAAGCCTGCCTCAGCAGCATCACTCGTGATGGGTAAGATCAAAACCAGAAAGAGCCCAGCAGAATAAATGGCGGGGGAATGTCCTGGGTTTATATTTTTGGCAGGGCTCACATTACGTCTGGCTGATGGTGGGGCTGCCTCCTCCACAGCCAGAGCCTGCAGGAATCTGGGACTTTGCTAAACTGAACCCAGGGCGTGGACAGGGCAAGGCTGCAAAGAGCCTGGCTCAGGGCTTGGGGAATTTTGTTCCCCTGCTGAACAACTCCATGAGGAGGACTGGCTGGAGCTCAAACCAGGGAATTTCAAGCCACAGGGAGCAGTGATCTCCTTGGGGCGGGGAATGTGTTCCCCAGGACCTTCCAGTGTGACACAGAGCACCCCTGGAGAGGCAGGCTCACCTCTCCACAGCTCGGTCCAGCAGGTAGAAGAGTGCCTGGAGCACCACGTGCTGCACACTCTTGCTGGGGTGGTGCAGCTTGGCTGTGAACAGGGCGATGGAGGCTCCTGAGGGGTCCCGCACGCTCTGCCGAGGAAACTGGGTCAGGCTCCCGCAGCACCCATGTGGAGCAGAGCTGGGACAAGCCACAGCTGGGATAGCTCCGTGGGGGACACCCCACCTACCAGAATGGTGAACTTCCCACTGAGCAGCTCCGAACGCAGCGGCTCCTCGTGGGGCTTCAGCTTCACAATTCCCTCCTTCAGCCGCGTCTCCTGCGGGCAGGGAGAGGAGTGACAGGGGGCACAGGCACCTCTGCCCCACGGGACACCCGGCCATCCAAGGGAATCTCTGCTCCTTGGGATCATTTTCCAGCACACCCCACAGTAACAGAAGGAGCAGCTTTCCAGCACCAGGTTAGAAAAGGCATGAGTGGATCTATATCCTTAATATATAGGGAAATGCTCTGTGAGCAGCACACACCAGGAAAGTACCCCATGAGCTGCTCCCAGAGGAGGGGAAGGGATTGGGATTGGTGAGATGTCCATGGCAACCCACCTTGGCTGAAAAAGGATTTCCCAGCTGGATAAAACTTATAAGAGAGAGGGAAAAAGAAAAAGGAGCAGGGGGATGGTGGTCCTAGGGAGCAGGAACCTCCTGCAGAGCAGGGAGCCCTCAGATGGGGAGGCTCCAGCCCCTCTCACTTACCCGGTAGGAGTGGAAGAGCTCGATGGCCCGCAGGACGTCGAACTTGCGGGCCATGAGGAACTTGACAGCCACATTCCAGGAGAGCGGGGACACATTGTACTGGCCTGTCCACTTGTTGATCTCCTCCAGGAACTGCTTGGTTGCCTGTGCAAGAGATCAGGGGCGTGCGGTGAGACAAGGTGAGAGAAAGAGAAAGAGGAGAAGGAGAAGAGGAGAAGGAGGAGAAGAAGAAGGAGAAGAGGAGAAGGAGGAGAAGGAGAAGAAGAAGAGGAGAAGGAGGAGAAGGAGGAGAAGGGAGGAGAAGGAGGAGGGGTGCCCAAGGAGCATCACTGGTCGTTGGTGAAGCTCCAATCCTCAAGAGACCCAGCAGCTTCTCGGGGTGAAGCAGGGAGCTCCACAACCAAAGGCATAAGGGCAGTGGTGATGGAGACGGCAGAAATGCCACATGGGAGAGGGAGCAAGGGATGGGAAAAATGGCTTGGAGGCTGGGGGACACTTATGGAAAGGAGAGTGGGAGCAAAAGGAGGACTTTACAGGCAACAATCTCCCATTCAGACACAGCACCCCCAGCACAGCCCCATCAACTGGCAGTGGCCTCCTGGGGCTGCAGCTCCACCACAGAGCAGAGAACTTGACTGTGGGAACACAGGCAATGAACATGGAGAACTTCAACGTGCTACAGGACATGGACCAGCTCGCCCAGTAACACCAGTTTCACACACACAGAACACCAGGAGGGTCCCAGGACCCTGGTCACCAGGACGCAGCTTTGCCTTCCGCTGCGGATCCCCTGTCCCACACAGGAGCCCAAAGGGAGATGGGACAGGCCAGTCTTCTACCACATCCTGCTCAAAGGATGCAGGCAGGATGGAGGGAGACACCAAAATGCCTTGCTCTCACCCAGGCATACACCAAAATGAAAGATTCTGTGCTCCTTAGAGCAGAGGGTGGCAATGCTGCCCAAGGAGGTGGAGGAGGGACAGGGAGTGCTGAAGGCTGGCTCCAGGAGCAGGGAGCACAGGCAGGCGGCGGTGTAGGATGTCAGGCAGCAGCACGAAGTTACTGGGAACTATTCAGAGTTACTGGGAGCTATTGAGCCAGAAAAGCTTGTCGGTGTTAATGACTTCCGACAGGAGGAAGCGAAGGTTTATTGGCAGCGCGAGGCTCGGCAGGGTCAGCGAGCCCCTCTCACGGGATGAGCCAAAGGAGCCCGGCTCATCCCAGGGGTCTGTCTCCCAGCACACTGCAACCAGGAACTCCCTAACTTGGTCCCAGAGTCGCACCAAGCAACCAGGCAAGCACCACAGGAAAATAAATGGGGCAATACAGGAACCACCTTCAGCCTTAACACAGCACACATCCACACGTATAGGAAGATATCCTATCTGTAAATATATCCTATCCAATATATCCTGAGCACACCTCCACTGCGCCCAGCTGCCCAAAATCCAGGGCTGCAGATACAAATCCAAAATAATAGTGAAGATGATCCTTCCCCAGCACATTGAGGACGGTCAAGGTATGGGAGTGAGCGCCAGGCACAGCTCCCACTTCCCTCGGACAAAGAGCAGAGCTGACACCACAGCCTGAGATGGCAATGATTCCCAAAGATGATGGCAAAGGGTGTGCCCAGATGATGGGAAGAGGGGCCCAAAGGGCATGATGGCGATGAGGAGAGAGGATGCAACCTGTAGTTCAGGTGTGCTTCCTCAACATCTAACCCATCACACTTCACATTTCCAGCAGCCGTCACAGGGGATGACAGGATTTTTGCAAGGAGAATATGCACCAGAACAAGCACTGGTTCTGCAGGGCAGTCCAGCCATGAATTCCAGCTTTCCCTGGGAACAAAACCAAATTCCAGACTTACCAGTACTGCCATTCAACAGCAGGGAGCCAGGCGTTACGGAGCTGAGCATCAATGCCAGCCACAGCTCTGCCCCCTTCGTGCGCTCCACTGGGTCTCATCATCATTCCTAGCCCCAATCCCAAATGGATTCATACACATGTCAATCCCAAAGGAGCAGGGATTGCTCCCTGTGCCAAAAGCAAAGCCTATGACCCAGAGCTGCATCAAGAAGTCCTGTTTTGGCAGCACTGGGAGTGAAATTGTCCGTGGCCGGGTGTTTGGAACAATGCTGGTCTTTGGAGTGCTGGCGTCATCCACGTTCCCGCTCCGCTGGGGCAGGGTGGTGACAAAGCCACTGCTGCTGGAATCCAGGGGTTCTTCCAGCCCTCCTCCCCCAGGCAGCAAATATACCCTTCCTCTTCAGAGTGAGGAAGTGGGGGATAAATCTGTGAAAATTGCAGCTAGGCTGAAAACCTTCAAGGAAAATTGGTTTGGCTCCTTGGGGATAGGCTAGAGAAGGAACTGCAGAGAGCCAGCAGAAGAGATGTCCCAAGGCTGGACTAAGAGAAGGGAGAATTTCCCCCTGGCTTGCTGTTGGTAACAGGAAATCTTGATGGTCCTGAGAAGGATGAAGGGATGGCAGGAAGGGCATGTTCCAGCCCAAACCACCACTTACCCATTAAAAGAAGAAAAATTCCATAATTTTGGCATCCAAGCAACCAAGGGCAGTGTGAAAGGCAGCCTTCCCCACACCAAGCTGATGACCCAAACCTGGAGCCATTATTGCAAACATCTCCACCTTCTCCATCAGTATTCCCAAACAAACCAATCATCTCACATCCCTTTCCTAGGACGCTGCTCCCGCTGCAAACCAGCCTTCCCTGCCACTGCAGGATCTCCACAAACCCTACTTCTGGAAGTTTTGCCTCCTCCATGACACGGGAGAAATGCAACCTGTGTGGACAGAGGGTCAGGACACTCCCCATTCCTTGGGATTTTATCACCCTGGAGAGAGCAGTGCTGCTCCCAGGAGGAAAAAGCCTGGTAGTTCTGCATTTGCTGAGCACCAGCACAGGCTGCAGGAGGGGCTCTTCCACGGAGGTTTTGAGAACTCGGCATCTCCATTCCCGACTCTCCTAAACCTGCCTGTAGAAACGAAGGATTTTTCAAGGCGAAAACCGACCATTTTGGAAGGAAAACGGGACCTTTTTGCTTTCGCTCTGCGGTCCCCGGCGCCACCAACGTGGCCAATGTGACAGCCCGAGGGGGCAGAGCTCACCCAGTCCCGCTCCCAGCCTCCACATCCCCATCCAGAGGGAAGCCCAGCGGCCGCGGGTGGGCAAGCCTGGGGAAAAGGACAAAGGAGGGGACGCAGGCAGGGATTGCTCCGGCCAGCCGAGGCGCCCCGGCCGGCTCCAGGGCCCCGTTCCCCGAGCCCGGCAACATCCTCCCGCGGTGACGCAAGG